AATGTGACACGTGTACACATTAGACTACCAAATTCTTCAGGACATAATCATGATCTATTCACAGAGTTCCTATCATCTAAGATCCAATTCACCCAGTACTATTCTTACTGGGTTTGACAGGCATCCAGACTTTTGACAGCCATTAACAATGGCAGTTGTGATTACCTAGGCTCTTGTTCCGAACAGGCCCAGGAGCCCATTCCACATGTCTGAGCAAACAAACACCTTTGCAATGGGTCTTCCAGTAATTTACCATCAGCTTCCCCGTATCTGATTGCTATGCCTTTAAGATATCATATTTAGCAGTTCAGTGAGTGGTTTCAAGGTGTTCCACCAAATGACTACAGAGGGGGTAGCTCATCTTGCTACAGTTCAGTTACATGTAATCAGAAATTAGTGCACTCTCTGTCTTGTCCTATAACCAATTAACCCACAGCCTTCTTCTACGATGGGTCACTCTCTGATTCAAGTAAGACACTGCCCATTTCTGGGTGGTTCTACAGTTTCAGTCTGCAGCATCTAGGTTTAGTGGTTACTAGTGGGTCCCATGGTAGGTCTGCCACCACTTGTGAATGAGCACCCCTATAAAAACCACAGCCTCACTCTCTAGTTAGATTTCACTTACCCAGCAACAAGCTGTTAGGAACACAAGCAACACTGGTTTGCCTCCTGGGAGCTCTTCTTTTGAAGGGCAGGAATCCGAGTCACTGACGGAGGAAAAAGAGCCATCCATAAATTATCAGCCTTATTCCCTCATACTCTGGCAGGGGAACCCAAGAACAGCCCTTCCCTAATCAAATGACTATTTTAAGTCTGAAGGAAAAAGCACATCATCATTCTCCTAGAAGAGTATCACTGATGACAAAAATCAGTAAGTGGGTAGACTTCAGAGACACAGCAACATGCAAAGAAAGAGGGCACGCCCTCCTAAGGTCTTAGCATACTGGGGTGAATATTCTTTTGCAGGAGATCTAAGTTGGAGCCCAAATGGTCCCCAAACCTACTGGAAAAGCCACTGACCTCAAAAGTCAAAACTGTGGGGGCAGTAAGACCACCACTGGACTAATCAAGAGGTCTGGATTCTAGTCTTGGCTCTGATACTAACTTGTTCAGTGACCTGAAGCAAGTCACTCAGTCTCACAGGATTTTTCTTATCTGTAAAATGAAGGTGAAAAACTAGGTAATATGTAAGGCTTATTCTGTGTACCAATATTCTGTGATTTTTTAATTCTAAAAATACACATAAGGAAAGAGCAAAAATCTCAAGTCCTTTGATTAGGGCTGGTTTTTCAATTAATTTATTGGAGAGTACTAACTGAGCACCTACTATGTATCAAGCAGTGAGGTCAGTGCTCCTTGTTAAGAATGTGCTGAGTCAAAGACAGGGAAAGTCCCCAGCAGTTATCCACCCACAATCAGAGGTAGAGAAATTTCTGGGAAATAATGAGGACTGCCTCTACAAATGAAGGAGGGTGGGGAGAGTATGTTGGAAGATGTTGAGGACTCCTTCTAATGAAAGGAAAGAATGCTGTATTAGAAAGCAGGGACTTGGTTTCCAGTCTAATCCACCCCAGTCCATTAGCACCTCTTATCTGACAATGAATAAACTGTCCTTTTCAAACTTTTAAACTTTAATATTCAGCTCAAATGTGAACCACACCTACTCCCTGTGGAAAATCTTCCTTGACTTTTCCAAGGCATTTCCTTTCTCTACATTCTCACAGAATTTCCACGACTACTGTAGCACTTTCCATTCAGTGTTTGTAATTCCCTAATTGCATTTTTGTCTTTCACCACTACACTTGACAAGTATAGCAGCGGTCTGGGGCTAGATGCTCTGGGTTGGAATCTCCAAGTGATCCTGGGCAAGTTACTAAACCTCTGTGTGCTCCACTTTTTCCAACTGTTTTAAAAAAGAAATGATAATATCAAGAACTCCTTCAGAGGGTTGTGGTGATGAATACATGAGTTAATACAAGGAAAGCACTTAGAAGAGTACCTGGTTGGTAAGCATTCAGTAAATAGTACCTGCTGTTAAATTATTCCTGTTATTATTTTTGCATCTATACGTCTTCACATAGTACAGATTTTGTTACCATTAGTTGTTGCGTTGTGGGATCGATTCCAACTCACAGCAATCCTATATGACAAAGTAGAGCTGCCCTATATGGCGTACTAGGCTGTAATCTTTACCGGAGCAGACTGCCAGGTCTTTCCTCCCCCCGAGCGGCTGGTGGGTTCCAGCTGCCGACCTGACTCCACCTTTCGATTAGCAGTAGAGTGCTTAACTATCGCGCCACCAGGGCTCCTTCTGCCATCAGATAGAGAAGAGTAAATACTTAACGAAAGGCGAGATAATGCTCACATATATAGTCTTATCCAGCCAGCACAACTTTGCGAAGTGGCAACGGAAAGAATAGTATTTGTTTTCTGGAAATTAGAAATCTAAAGCGCAAGTTCGCTGACTCGCTCAAGTAGACAGATTGGACACCAGGTCTTCCGACTTCCAGACCAGGGTTCTTAAACAACCTTCCGCCTCCCCTCTTCACCGCAAGCTTTCCCCAGGCATCGGGCCTCCGCCCCTAAGGTCCCTGCTCGATCGGAAGGAAGAGGCGCTGCGGCCGGTAGGCCTCCTGAGCCAAAGGAGACCCCGGGGCGGAACCCGCTGCAGCCGATCACAGCATGAACCGCTCACCAGGAGCTCGCCGCGGCGCTGACCCGGCAGCACCTCGCACCAGTCCGCCGGAAACAAGCCCAGGACGCGCTCCGCCATGTGACGTCACCAGTCCGCGCCGTGGCCGATAACCGTTGCCGTCGCCTTTGTTGGAAGGTGGGGGTGACTTCTCGGCGCCCTGAGGGTAGGAGTTCCCGCGCCAGGCTCAAGGGGCCTCCAGACACGGCTTGCAAACCCATCTCAGCGTGCACTTTCCCAGTGTAAAGAAGCTAAAAGTGAAAGTGAGATTGGGAGTTGGCCCAAGGGAGCTCTTAAAACCAGCCAAACCCATTGCTACCGCGTCAGTTGCCACTCATAGCGACACTATAGGACAGAATAGTACAGCCCCAAGAGTTTCCAAAGCTGTGATCTTCATCTCGCTGAGCGGCCAGTGGGTTTGAACCGCTGACTTTTCGGTTTACAGCCCATGCTGAATCACTGCACCACCAAGGCTTATAGGGAGCTTTTACCACGTGCCAATTCACACTGCGCCCGGCCACTTTTATCTTCCTAAAATACATATTTTTCCATGACATTGCCCTTTGGAGGTTCTCAAGGCTTCCGCAAGTTGCTCTTAACCTTCCTTACACATACTCTTTCCTGTCACAAAACTGACCTCGCAGGGACTCCAAAACACCTTACTTCCTCCATTCACTGCTTTGGCTTGAGTCCTAGATTCTCAATGGGTGAACTTGGGTAAACCATCTCTCTGTGCCTGTCTCCTCACCTATAAAATAAAAGATAGTGGTACCCAATTTCATAGGGTTGTGAAGATTAAATTGGGTAAAAATTTCTAAGAATGTCTGACACTTAACGAACTTTGGGTAAAAATGTTAGGACTATCACCTGCTCCTAAAATCCCTGCTCAAGCTCCCATTGTTCCGAGCGGGCTTCTCTACCGTTCCAAACTCAGGGGCACCGCCCCCTAAAAATGCAAAGCTTCAGATCTTGCTGGTCTTCATTCCGGAAATATCTGCACACATACGTTCATCCTGACAGGTATATCCAGGCATGAGTGCATGGGCAGCAAAGCACCTGACCCACTCCAGGCACTCTTCCCAATCTGCAAGCTTAGGAAAATGAGGCTGTCTGCTAACCATTTCCCTGGTGTGCAGCACATAGCAAGCACTCAGTACTTATTGAATAAATGAGTGAGATGGCAGCAGTGAAGTTATCTGTTCACATTTCCAGATGGGCTGCTTTTCCAAAATGGAGTCCATTTGAGAGGCTGAAATTAGGAGTGGAGATGCCAGACTGAAGCCATGGCAATTGCACTGACCAGCTAGAAAGGGGCCCTTTGTAGAAATGCCAGCTGACACGTCAGGGAACAATAATGCCTTGCTTTTTACCAAGTGCCACATTCTCAGCACTTCTTTGAAATCACATAGCAAGTTCTCCCCAAAGCCTTAACCTCCCCACAGGTCAGAGAGCCTTAGCCTAATCATTTTCTACTGCCTTTCAGGCCTTAAAGAATCTCTTTAAATCACAGCCTCTGCTGCATGGAAAGTAACTCTGGAGTGGGGTACCCTAGGCAGACCAGGGTCTAGAAACAGGAATATGGGGCTTAAAAGCAGTTTGGGCTAAGCGTCTTTCAATGAGATGTGGAAAGTAGATACGAGGGATGGACATCAAAAATTTTCCACAGAACTAAACTAACCTTAGCCTTGATGTGGCCAGTGGTTGAACGGTAGTGAAACTGGAGCCACCTGAGGTCAAAGTTATGTTTCTGCATTATGTAGGAAGGGTCAAAATCAATTTCTTCCTCACCCGGTTACTCCCAGGCAAGTCTGAGATTCTGAGGGCAAAAAGCTGCTCAATCTCGTGAGCTCCCCCTATCCTCAGGAGGGGGGCAAGGTTAGAACTATAAATGATCCACTCTGTAACTGCCACAAGTAAAGGGGCAGTATGGAGCTGAGGTATGACAAAGAGAGAAATCTGAATGATAGTGCAGAGGGGGACAGGAGTTTAAATTTCACCTGACACGAGTTATGTAATCTTTCTTTTGCTGTTTTGAAGCTCTAATGTGGCCTCCTCCCTGTGTCCTTCTGGAGTTACAAATTAAAATGCAGTGCACCAAGAATCAGCAACACATTCCAGTTTTTATCATACCAGCATCCAATGTAGGCCATGAGCTCAAGAAGTGTTTCCTCCTTGGGATTTCTAACTTCCAATTGCTCTGCTGCCAAGGGGGCATCATTGTTCAGTTCCTGCCTATTGGATTTCATTGATATTCCAGTTGACGTAACTGTGCCTCTGCAGCTACGTGCATCTTCCTCTTCCAGTTGACCTGACATCAACTTACATGTGAAAGCACATTGTGAAACTGTGATTGTACTTTTAAATGCCTGATCTGTTTTTTTTCTACAAAACACTTTTTCTTATGGGGTCCTCTACTTAATACAACCACACACTGTATCTTGGGGAAAGGATCAGAATTCTTCCTCCTAGCAAACACGTCATGGCCATACACACTCACCGTATATGCTTTTTAATGGTAACTGGGTCCACATCACAAACTGCTGGCTGGCATGGAGAAATGTCTGACTCAATATTTTAGTTGAGTTTAACAAATATTTATTGAGCACCTTATAAGTGCCAGCCATTGAGGACACAAAGATGAATAAATATCACATCTCTCGATGGAGCTAACAGTCCAGTGGGAAGAGGAAGATCTGTAAACAAATCTTACAATACAAAAATAATACAGAATACAAAGTAAATGACATTAGAGACAGCTTTAAGGTGTTGCCTGAGCATATTTATACAGGACAAATGAGTTTTCCAGGCAAGGAGGAGCAAGGAATGGAATCTAAGGCAAGAGGAACAGTATGTGCAAAGGCACTGAAGTACAGAGTCTGACTGTAGAATTACAAGGAATTTGCACTATGGAACAGAACACGCAAGGCAGAGAATGGCAGCTGAGGCTGGAGATGTAGCACAGGCCAAATGAGGAGTCTCAGATGACTCTTTAAGGGCATGTGGCTTTATTTTAAGAGAGAAGAGAGCTGCCAGAGTTATGTCTTAGAAAGATCACCAGAACGAAATGCAGATGACCTAATGGGCCAAGAGACTGGAAGACTGGTTAGGAAAACAGAAAAACAGTCTAGGAAGTAAACTCTGAGGACCTGACCTAAAGCAAAGCAGTGGAAATGGCGTCCAGATTTAGGAGATAATGTCAACAGGGTACAGTTGTTGGTTGGATGTGAAGACTAAGAGGGAAGATTGAGGGAGAGGGCAATTCCTAGGTTTGGGGCCCAGCTGGAGTGACAAGGTGCATGATGGGCCAGCAAGTGAGAGAAAATCAGGATGGCAAATATGTGCAACAGTGAGAATATGAGGTGAGGGCAGTGCAAAGGAGCAATGAGTTCTTTCTTTCCTTTCCTGTTTCCCCAGCATGGGAACATGTGCCAGACTCCCTTAGCCTGAGGATTACAGACTCAGTGTCATATTCCTTCCCTTTTAGAAAATCTTTCCTACAACAACTTAGAGACAGCTTCTACCCTTAAGTTTTTTTCATTTCTTCCCCCCAAAACCCCCCTCTATTCTCCTTTCCACTCAAGATTCCAAAGATAGTAGTGTATAAATATAACTAAGTAAAGACCTATATATCAAGAAAGTTAATAAGAAGTTTTGGTGGGCAAGCGTTGATTAAAATACATTAACTCAATACTTACTGAACACTTACTATGTGCCAGAAATTAACCCTATAGTGTCATATTTCACTTAAGAATATAGATATTGACATTTACTTTTAGTAGAAAATGTACATACATACTTTTTCATGAGCATAAAGTTTTCATAGGATTATTTTTTCCCCACAAATACTAATTTCCTCAATTATGAATTCCTCTATGGCAGGTTTTCAGAGCATAATCTTCACAGCAAGAGAGGAATACTGTATAAATTATTTTTGTCACATTCCCATTAATGGAAATTAGTGGACAAAAACAATGCTTACGTGAGAGTTGCTCTGGAAAATCAAAACTCAATTCCAAGCAACCAACCATTCCAGAATCAACTTAGTTGATTTTAAAAGTCATACTTTAAAAACTGTCTAAGCCTCAGAGCTAAGAAACTTTATTTCAAATACCAAATGCTATCCTCAGTCTTCCAGAGCTCAGTCCCTGGATAGCAGTAAAGAACATGAAAGAGATTCAGAAAATACAGGGGAAGCCATGCCCTTTTTCTCAAAAGAATAAAATATCACAGTTGGTGGCAAACCATGCTATTGATTTTTGGGAATTTAAAAGCAGGTAATTCTAAAAGTCTTTCCAAATTCATTTCTAAGTGTTTACCTAAATACTCCTAACCTTCAAGTAATATTCTTGAATATGAATGTACAAGAATATAAAATCTATGATTGCAGCAACCAATGGCCTAATTACAGGAAACCCAGCCCTCCCAGCTTCAGCTGTCAACACTCTCTTTGGGACTGGCCCAGCAGCCCGCCACCTCAACTCCAGCCAACCTAAAGGGCCTTCTTCACTAATGTTTTCTCCTCCCTAGTGGCCAACAAATTGAGTCCCCCTTTGTATGGACTTTTTACTCCTAGCGGGTCTCTCTGCCCTGGCTACAAACCAGTGGCCCCACCAAATTCCTGGGGCAGGAATATGTTGGTACTTTGCTCTGTCACACACAGGCTTCCTCCTCCAAGGCCTTATCAGCAATGGCTTAGCACAGACCTATTCTCCCGTGGTAAGCCAGTAGCCCTCTGGTACAGTGGTTGGGCCTTCTTCTCCCTGTCCCTCTGAGCAGATATATCTCCCTTCCCACAAGCTAGCATCACTGAAGTCTCTCTTGACCTCCTACTTCCTTCTGAATCCTAAATTCCTCTAAAGCTTGAAAAGATCAGGAAAGGTATTTCTCACCCTAAGACTTCTTCACCAGCATATCTGCAGGGATCAGCCCAGTTCTTGTCACATTCCCTTATTACTTAAATTACTGAATATGGATTCTTGTTTTTCACTTGTTCTGTTTTTCCATTCACAGGACCACCTCCTGCTGCACTCTACAGGTCAGGCAGCCTCCCCCAGCAGCATAGAGAGAGCTGCCTCAAACACCTGAAGGCTGCTTAGAACTACCTCAGAACTGTTGCCACTTTCAGACTGACAAGAAGTATTTGGAAAAGCACCTCAACCAACCGGCCAGTGAACAGGAGTAACAAGGCGGGATGGGGGGTAGGGGTGTAGTAAAGGAAACACAAGTGCTAGCTTAACAAATGCTAAAAGTACAAGGTACATGGGTATGAAGGAGTGGCAATCTGCAAGGCTTTATAAGAAAAGCAGGAACTTCCTTTCTACCCTGTATTCCCAGATGCCCATCATAGGCTCTGCATTCTCCAAGCTCCCACTTCCATTTCTGGAAATATTCTTCTCCGAGCACAGTAGCAAAGATTCCTTCCTCCCTCCATCCAGGAACTCTATCTGCCCCTCTTCCCCACAGCCATATTCCTAGTCACTCTCTAGAGAAGCTGTCATTCCTAAAATGCCAAGATTATTTACCACTGTGGAGTTTCTGATGTCTGAAAAGGACTGAACTATGTCTGAAGAATTTCCCACATTCAATGCATTCATAAGGCTTCTCGCCAGTGTGAACTCTGTAATGTTCACTAAGGTGTGCATACTTGCGGAAGGTTTTCTCACATTCACTACATTTATAGAGCTTCTCACCAGTGTGGGTTCTATGATGTTCAGTGAGAGATGAGCTATGTGCAAAGGCTTTCCCACATTCCTTACATTTATAGGGCTTCTCTCCAGTGTGAATTCTCATATGCTGAGTGAGGCAGGTATTCTGATTAAAGCCCTTCCCACATTCATTGCATTTATAGGGTTTTTCTCCAGTGTGACTTCTCTGATGCCGAGTAAGGCAGATGCTCTGAATGAAAGCTTTACCACACTCATTGCATTTGTAGGGTCTCTCCCCTGTATGAATCCTCTGATGCTTAGTGAGTGGGGTACTCTGAGTAAAAGCTTTGCCACATTCCTTACATTTATAGGGTTTTTCTCCAGTATGAATTCGCTGGTGTTTAATAAGGGACGGGCTCTGACAGAAAGCTTTTCCACATTCCTTACATTTATAGGGTTTCTCTCCAGTATGAATTCTCTGATGCTGAGAGAGGTTTGCCTTAGTTTGAAAGGTTTTCCCACATTCGTCACATTTATGGGGTTTTTCCCCAGTATGAATTCTCTGATGTTGTATAAGATTTGAGTGTTTCCGGAAGAAAGTGCCACATTTATTGCATAAATAAGGTTTCTCACCAGTATGAATTCTCTGATGTTGAATGAGGTGTGTGTTCTGATGGAATGTCTTCCCACATCTGTTACATTTGTAAGGTTTCTCTCCAGTGTGAATTCTCTGATGTTCAGTGAGATGCGAATGATTGTGGAAGGAATTCCCACATTCATTACATTTATAAGGTTTCTCTCCAGTGTGGATTCTCTGATGCTGAGTAAGAAATGATCGACATCGAAACACTTTCCCACACTGCTCACATCCATACAGTTTCATTCCATTGTGAATCCGTTGATGTTGAACAAGGAATGAGCTACGACTAAAGGCTTTCCCACATTCCTCACACGTGTAAGGTCTCTCCCCAGTATGAGTTCTCTGGTGTTGGGTAAGGGATGAGCTCTGAGTAAAGGTCTTTCCACATTCATTACATTTCCAAGATTTTTTCTGGGTAGAGAGGGGTGGGCATTTACTTTGGTCTGAAATCTCATTGGTGTATATGCTAGCTGTCTCCCGCTGATGCAGGCTCTCTTCTGTGGAAACCCTGAGACGTGTAACAAGGCTTGAGGTCAAAAGCAAGCTTTTCTCGAGGTTATAGTCTTGGCTAGTTATTTTAGGAGTTGTTTCCTTGTGTACGAAGGTTATTCCCCCAAAGCCTCCTTCCTGGAAAAGGCATGGCCTGGGAAGCTCTCTGGAAGGGTTTTCCTTCATGCCCTCACATGCATATTTTTCTACAAATATCGAATCTTGGTGTTCATCCTCTTGGAATCTCTGTGCTACTATGCCTGGAGAATCAATTTCAGAGACTTCTTGCTCTGGAGCAGGCCTGTTCTTCAAACCTGAAAGAAACCATCAGAGTAAATGTCTCCAGTTCAGGGCACAGCAGAGGCCTCTGAAGTTGTGTGGACAGAACTTTGACAAATCTCAATAATGGCCTGTGAATAATAGTGAGTAAAAGCAAACGGGGCAAGTAATTCAGAGCTGATCTGCGTCTGGGTCAAGTGTTTACCATTAGTGAGGAAGCCTCATAGAAAAGGGAAGCTACAGATACCCAGGGAGCAAGAGACCTACCGGAAATGGAGAAAAAGGGGAAATAACACACAACAGTAGGATAAGATTAGGAAAAGACAGGAAACGGACAGTTTGTATCCAGATAGTGGATAGTTAGAGAATGAAAAAGGGAAACTCCTGAAAATAAGAGAGAAAATGAATATTAGGGAAAAGCTGGCCTCAAGAGGCACTCACCTCCAACTGTCCCCCACATCCCTAAAAGAGAGAGTAGTTTTATCTCTTTACTTTCCCTCAGAGTTTCTCTTCCAAGATTCCCAAAGTCTTCCTACTGCTGGGCTGTTTCTCCCACTGGTTGTCTCTTGCTCACTCACCTGGGCTGGTCTCTCTTCCACTCTCTCTCTCTTCAGCTCCTTGCATATTCAACAGCCACAAATCTTCTCTTTGCTTTGACTGGAAAACACCTCAGGTCTGGAAAACTGAGAGCCCTGCTCATAGGGAAAAAAAGGGGGGAGGGATGTAACTGTCCCAGTAAACGAAAAATGATAAAAGTTGTCTAGGGATGCTACCTAATAACTTATACCAAAGGGTGAGGCAACATGAGTGCCTCAGTACAAACTGGGGCTGGCTTGCAGTTTTCTAGGTTCACAAATTCCACTTGCCAGCTGTCCAAGAATTGACAGATTCAGAAAAACATACTATCAAATACTCAAGAGCTTGATGAATAAATCAGAATGACATTTATTACCTTATAATGATAAAGATAATTATGAAATGGATAGGAATATTCATGTCAATTAGTGCACTCTATCATACAATAATCTATATGAAAAGTCAATTAATATACTCAAAAGATGCATGAGGAAACAGCCTTATAGCAAGGCTAACGCATCAAGTCTAATCCATCCACCTCCACTATATGCCAAGGGGCCTGGATAATGGTTACAGAGTCTTCTCTACTCAATAAAAACCAAGATACACTAATTGTTCTTAGATGTATATCAATTAAACAATTTTTCTTCAGACACAGCTCAATTAAGAGTGTAGGCTGCTGTTTTTTTTT